ATTAGTAAACTTAACTTTCGCATTAGTCCATGTTTTATAACTTTTTTTCTTTCGGTGATTAAAATTTTATTATATTTTATTTTTATTCCTATAATAAATATTTTTTAAAATTTATTTCATTTTAGCCCTTAAAAATTTAAAATAAAAACTTTAATTCCTTGATTGATGCACTACACATGCCTTTTTTTTACTTTGGTTTTTTTTGAATTTTTTTTCATAAATTTATGTTCTTTTTTTTATTTGATTGGATGTTACAATTTTAAAAAATCAATTTTTTCTTTGCTTTTTTCATCAATTTATGTTCTTTTTTTAGTTGGGTGTTAAAATTTTGAACAATCCATCATAACTTTTTTCCACATAAATTGATGGTTATATAATATATCTTTTTATATTTTGAAATTAACATATACTTCAGCTTATATTATTATTATTATTTAAATTTCATTCTTTAAATTTATCATTTTTTTTTATCAAAATTCTCATCCAATTAAAATTTTTTATATGAAATTTTATTTACCGATATTATATAATTTACCTTTCTCTCTATTTGAATTATAGAATAAAATTTTAAAACATGATTGTTTTTTTCTTTTTTTTTTTAAATAAATTGGTATAATATATATATCATGAATTCTAATAATTTTTACATGATAGTTGCATATATATATATATATATATAAAATATTTTATTCTAAAAGGTTAAAAGTGTATTTCAAATAATTTAACTCGAGTTCACTAGATATGATCAAGACATATAAAAAAATTATTGAATCATTCATTTTATTAAAAATTAACTATACATCTTTCAAAATAATACAAATTATTTATTATAAATAATTTTTTAACATTATAAAACCAATTTATTCGAAATAGTATAATTAAAAAAAAAATTTAAAGGAACCAACCAATTATTCAAAGAATTTTTTTATGCTAATTTTATTGATTATTTTGTCAATAAATATATATAGATCAAATGCATATATTTGAAAGAAATTAATCTTCTCACCAACATTAAATAAGAATAAAATTTTATTTTTTAATTGGTTAATTCTTATGCAAGTCTATACATTAATTGTAGCTTTATTTTTTAAATTCATTCTTATAAAAAATATAATTTTAAATTATTTGCTTTTGAATTCTTAATTAATTTTTCAGATTTAAATTATTATAAGTTTTTATTTAAGAATTCCTAAATATCACAAAAATAAACCATGCTTTTTAAGCAGAAATTTTATGAAAAACACATAAAAAATAGTAATAATTAAATAAAAAATTATTACATTTTGAAATGATTTTATTCTATTTACCGAGTAGCATTGTGCGGATAATTTTAAAAATTATTTTTCTCATCAGCATTAAATGAGAATTCTTTTCAATTGTTAATTTTTATCAAAATCTATCCATTAATTATAACTATTTTTAGAATAAAATATTGCACAAATTATATTTTAAAATTTTTTTCAATTCTTGATTAATATTTTAGTTGAAAATATTATAATTTTTAATTTTAAAATCAATCCATAGAGAAGAATGATTTATTTTTTTAAGCAAATAATTTATAAAAAAATTAGAAAAAATTAATTAAATTAAATATTATAATTAAAAAAATTAAAATTTTAAAATAATTTTGTTCTACCGGACCCGCTACGTAATGCGGGCAACCGACTACTAAAACAAATTAAAGCAAAAAAATAGTTTTACTATTCATTTTATTATTTGAAACACTAATCACACACTCAAAAATCATTATTCTTTTCCCTATTTATGTCATTTTTTTGAACACTTTGGTCCTCAAATTTTTTTTAATTTTTTTTTCAATTTCAAACTTTAATTATATTGTGATTTGGTCTCATTTTGTTTTTGTGTTTTTTATTAATTATTTTTATTATTTAAAATTTACTATTCAAATTTATCATTTTTTAAATTTTCTTTTTTTTTCATTTTCACACTTTAATTTGTTAATTATTTTTATTATTTAAAATATACTACTTTAATTTTTCATTTTTTTAAAATTCTCTTCTTTTTTTTTTAATTTCAAGCTTTAATTATATTATGATTTCATCCCATTTTATTTTAATGTTTTTCGTTAATTTTTTTTGTTTAAAATTTACTTCTTTAATTTATCATTTTTTAAAAATTCTCATTCGATTAATTTAAAATTATATTTATTGACAATTTTAATTTATTTGTTTTTATATGTATGGATTTTGAAATAAATTTTTAGACTATCATTATTTTTTCTTTTGAAAAATAGATTTAGATCATTTTTGAATTATAGTGGCATGATTAATATATATAATTTTTCTAAAATACATTTTTAGATTAAAAGTATATTTCAAATAATTTTTTCTCAGTTTTTATATTATTTAAAATTTACTACATTAATTTATCATTTTTTTCAATTCTCTTCTTTTTTTTCAATTTCAAACTTTGATTATATTGTGATTTTGTCCCATTTTATTTTAGTATTTTGTTTTAATTATTTTTATTATTTAAAATTTATTACTTTAATTTATTATTTTTTTAAATTCTCATTCAATTAATTTAAAATTATATTTACTGATAGTTTTGATTTATTTTTCTATATGTTTGGATTTTGAAATAAATTTTTTGATGATTAATTTTTGTTTTTTTGAAAAATATATTTACATACTTTTTAAATTATAGTAACATGATTAATATAAATAATTTTTCTGAAATACATTTTTAGATTAAAAGTGTTTTTCAAATATTTGTTTCTCGATTTTTTATTATTTAAAATTTACTACATTAATTTGTCATTTTTTTTTAAATTCTCACTTCTTCTTTTTTTTTTTCCAATTTCAAACTTTGATTATATTATGATTTCTTCTCACTTTGTTTTAATTTTTTTGTTAATTATTTTTATTATTTAAAATTTACTACTTTATGTCATTTTTTAAAATTCTCATTTAATTAATTTAAAATTATATTTACTAATAATTTTGATTTATTTTTATATATGTATGGATTTTGGAATAATTTTTTAGAACATGATTATTTTAAAAAAAATAGATTTAGATAACTTTTAAATTATATTGGCATGATTAATATAAATATATAATTTGTCTAAAATATATTTTTAGATCAAAAGTGTATTTCAAATAATGTTTTCTTGGTTTTTTATTTTTTTTTTGAAAAGAAATCAAATTAATTAGTTGAAAGTCAAATGTGAAAAATAAAAAGAAGATGGTTGCTCTATGTGTGAGGCCTATATTCAAAGACTAGCCGTGCATAAAATAGAAATAAAAAAATATTTAAGAATGAGGGGGAAAAAAAAGAATTCACATGTTTATTAATTTGTTTCTTCTTTATATGATCAAAATAATTTGAAATCAGATTTGTAGTAATTTTTATTTTAGTCTATTAACTTCAAATTTAGTCAATATATTTCTTACAAATTAAATTTTTATAGTATTTTTTGTTTTGGACTGAAAACTCTAAACTCGCTTAGTATAGTTATTATGTATAAAAAATATTGAATAGTTTTTTATATATATATAAATCAACTGTGGTACTACAACTACACTAAGCATTTACTATTTATTTATTGTTTTTGAATATTTTAAAATTAACTTATTTTAAATTAAATAATTAAAATAATGTTATAGTTTAACCACTCAATAATTCAAATTAATATATAGTTTTTTATTTTAATATTATTCATTCTTTTGTAAATAAATATATAAAAATTAAATTCATATTTTTTCAAACACCGATATTCTAATTAACATTAAATAAAAAATATATATTTTTTCAATAATATGTAAGCTTTTAATAATTGTTATTTATGTTTTTTGACACAATCTTATGAAATATTAAAAAAATATTTAATTTTCTTTTTAGTTAATGATCTATGGATTAACAAGGATGAATCCTCTTTCTAAAAAAATTTATGAAAAACACAAATAAAAAATAGTTAAATACAAAATTTTTTATTAAATAATTTTTTACATTTTTGATTTTATGTATTTTTATAGATTCACACCATAAAATAGATAATCAAATTGAAATAATTTTTCTAAATGATTTTATATATTTTATTCAACCCATAACGTAGTGCGGGAAAAACAACTAATCAAATTCTATATAAATCCACAAATCTATTTATTATTAATTCTTTTTTGAGCTACCTTCCTACATGGAACTAAATCAAAAAATGAACGGAGTTAAAATAAGATGGAAATGATAGTACGTCCGTTCAAGTGTTTTTGGGCCATCAACTCCCATGTTATACACGAGCCGAAATTGCTTAAGAGCATAGATATTTTTTCAAAATCGTGTTATTCATTTTATAATATTGAAATATTGAATCAAGATTTTTTAATATAATAATTTAATCTCAAGAGGTTGGGTCCACTGTTAAAGTGTTCCTTTTAACTTTTTGGATTTAAATTTTAAAACTAAATACACTAAATCATAATAAATAAATTATTAAAATCGTTTTTCAAAAATTTTTTTTTGATTAAGACGTAAATTGACTCGATAACATCCTTCTTATGAAAAAAAACAAATTACCTAATTTTTTATGAATTTGATATAAATTATTTTTTAATAAAATTTAATTTAAACTATTAAATTCAAAATAATTAATCATAATATAATTTTTATATAGCATAAAAATCTCAACAAATTGGATTATTGATATTCGCATCAAATCTAAGTCGTTAAATTCAATCAATATTATTTGAATTTCAAAATGAATGTAACATCAGCATCTATTTGGAAGATGACGTTAGAATCCAAATCTTATCTTGTCGAGAAACACAAGCGGTACATCCACCCATCATTCAGTCACGCGTAAGTAATGTTTTTTCTTTTTTTCAAAGGGAGGAAATAATCACGTGATCATAAAACTGCACCGCACAAATAGAGATTCTTTATAAATAAAATAAAGTATTAAATAAACACAACCCACTCAATACAGTACTGTTCTATCACTGCCAAGCAAAGGCAAATTGAGCTTGGCCATGGCCATGACCATGGAGATGGACAATTGCGTGCTGCGAACTAGTATTTTCGTTCTCATAGTCGCCATGTCCTTAGCCTTTCAATTTTCTCCAAACCCAAATGGAAAACACTTTTGTTCTCTGCTGACATGCCAAAATAATAACTCTTCTTCTGCTTTGAAAGAGCGGATAATTGAGCTAGCTAATGATCAACACACAGTCAATTGGATGAAGAAGATTAGGAGACAAATTCATGAGAATCCTGAACTTGCTTTTGAAGAGTTTGAGACGAGCAAGCTGATTAGGCAACAACTTGACCAAATGGGTATTTCTTATCTGTGGCCTGTGGCAAGAACTGGTATAGTGGCCACACTTGGGTCTGGCTCTCCACCCTTTGTTGCTTTAAGAGCTGATATGGATGCTTTGCCTATTCAGGTATTCTTTAATTATTTTTGTTTCTGACAAATACAAAAACGTATGTATCTGAAAAGAATTGTTAATTTTTGATGGAATGTGATTTCTTCATCAAAATTCTATAAACCTGTTTTTATTCAGATAGGATGGGATTTGATTTTTTCCCAAACATTGATTTAGACAACGTTCGATTTTGCCACATGTTTTTCTGTTCTGTCCAATCATTACCGAGGCATTTTAACATAATTTGCTAGCTTGGGACTCGCATCACATTAAGGGGGGAAAAAGATTCTAACTTGGACTCTATGCTGTCTCTCCATAGGAATTGGTTGAGTGGGAGCACAAGAGTAAAGTAGATGGCAAAATGCATGCTTGCGGCCACGATGCGCATGCTGCAATGCTCCTTGGTGCTGCAAGGGTCTTGAAACAATTGCAAGATACGTTGGAGGTAAAGTGTGATTTTGTGGTACCTGGTTGATTTATATTGACGTTCCTGCCAACCACGAAATTAATAACTATAAACGCAGGGAACTGTCGTGCTTATATTTCAACCAGCTGAAGAACAAGGTCAAGGTGCAAAAGGCATGATTGCAGAAGGGGTTCTTGATAATATAGATGCCATTTTCGGATTGCACACTGTGCATAGGTATCCTACTGGAGTGGTTGCTTCACGGCCTGGAGAATTCCTTGCTGGATGTGGGAGTTTCAAAGCAAAGATAATAGGCAAAGGTGGTCATGCCGCAATTCCTCAGCATTCCATTGATCCAATTTTGGCGGCATCAGCCGCAGTAATTAGTTTGCAGAATATAGTTTCTAGGGAGGTTGACCCTTTAGATTCTCAGGTACTATGAGCAATTAGTAACCATGATGGGAGTTACGTTTATTCAGTTTAGTTTTATGATTGAGTTGTAGCTTGTTACATTACTCGATTCTAAGGTACAGCAGAATCTAATTCCTTGTCGAAACTTGGATACTGCAGGTGGTTTCTGTAGCTATGATCCATGGAGGTACTGCATTTAATATAATACCAGATACGGCTACAATAGCAGGAACGTTCAGGGCTTTCAGCAAGAAGAGCTTCAACGCGCTCAGGGAAAGAATAGAAGAGGTAACTTATCTGCTGACATTAGAAATGAAACCTCTTCACGATATTTTAGATAAAGCCCACATACGAGTTGTGTGATGTATAGAGCGACAAGCATTATAAGGTTTTCTTTATGATATCCAACAAAAGAAACAAGGTTCTGGGTTATTGTCATAGCAAGCCTCTTAATAAATCAACAGATCAGTTGTGATACATAGTCTTGAATTTTTTTTCTTTTCGACAAAGAAAAGAAAGAAGCATGTCATTGAAGAGACTTTGCATTTCATCTCTTTTTAAATGTGTTGATGTCTTGTTCCAGGTAATCGAAGGGCAGGCAGCTGTACATAGGTGCAGTTCTGAGATAGATTTCACCGGCGCAGAACATCCAGCAATTCCTCCGACAGTAAATGATGCCCGAATTTACGAACATGTCCGGCGTGTTTCAATTGGTATAGTAGGAGAAAGAAACATTGAAATAGCTCCAAGCTTCATGGGAAGTGAAGATTTTGCTTTCTACCTTGATAAAGTTCCTGGATCCTTTTTATTTCTAGGCATTAGAAATGAGAGGATTGGGAGCATATACAATCCACATAGCCCATACTATACCATTGATGAGGATGTGTTCCCTATTGGAGCATCAATATATGCGGCATTTGCACATTCTTACCTTTCAAAATCAGCAAGAAATTCGAATTCTTATGACTAAAATCATTTTCTGTCTCTCTTGTTTTCGTCTGTCCATGATTTTTTAGAGATTGCTGAAACTTGAAAATAATCCATATGACCATAAAACTTTAAAGTGGACACAAAATGGAGATGAAATGATGTGGATGGCACCATCAATAACCACAACGATAGCGAGAACCGCATTATTGGTTCGCAGGTTCGTACAGGTTGAAAGCTACATTTGACTTCAAGTCATTGTTTACGTCACTTTTTTGTTACTGAAAAATATGACCATAAACTCCTTTTGTTACATAATTTATATAAAAAATGAATCAAACGTAACTAAAGTTATAATTACTCGAAGTGATAAAAGTAAAGATTGGTGATATATATTACAAGTCCGCTTACTGTTACAGGAATGTGATACAGGAACATCAATACAAATGGTAGACTTATTTGACAGGGGAAAATAGAATTTACTTAATATAGTCATTTAATTTAAAAGGGGAGACAAGAATACAAATGTCCAGTGCAAAACATATAATTAAGCATCCAAAAATCTTTTTGTTATAATCCTAAATCATTAAACAAATATGTGTTAAATAATATCTTCTTTTTCTCGAAACTAAAATTAATTCGATGAATAACAATTTAAAATTATGAGTAAATTATAATTTATTTTTTATGTTTTTGATGATTTTTCAAAGTAGTTCTTCTGTTCAAAAGTATAAGTGAGTTCCTTAATCAAAATTGACTGTTAAATTCTTTTAATTTCTATTACTCTGAAAAAATTTACCTCAGCATTTTTTAAGAATACAAAATGATGAAAATAATATGGTTTTAGTCAATTAAATATATTGAATGGTTGGATTGAATTAGGGTAGGACCATCAAAAGCCGGTGTCCATTGAAACTTTCTGAAATTAAAAATGACTTGATTAAACAACAGTTAGTTCATTAATCACGGACCAGTTTTTTTGTCACCTCCCATTCATGAGAAAATATTCTATGAAAAGTAGAATTGAACATTAAAGCATGTCCTTTAAATAAAATAAAAGAGGATTACGATCTCCATTGTGTAAGTTAAGAACAAATATATGTAATAACAGTGTCAGGTTTCGATGGATCTAAAGTTTTGTTTCTTCTTCTTCTCCTTCTTTGTGTTTTTATTTAGTGTATGTTTTAATGGAAGAAAAAAATCTAAAAAAAAAATGGAGAATTTAAAAAAAATCTGAAAATATTAAAAATATGAGTTAAAAGGATATATATATATATATAGAAAATGAAAGACGAGACTTTAGAAGACTTAGTTTTAATCCAAATGGATTTTCTATCCAATGTCATTTGTTTAAGAAATATTAAATGCAATTGATTTTAGAATAGTACACTATTAATTATTTAATCCTTAGGTTTTTCATGAAATAATTCGTTAATTCCTATTTGATTGTAATTTGGTTTGGTTTTTCATCACAGTTAAAATATTATTTGCCTAAAATGTCCTTCATTTGTAATCATAATATTTATTTTTATCTACTACTTTCATATTTCATAGTAAAACTGTATTTAACAGAGGTAATTTATAAATTTAAAAAATAAAAATAACATTCAACTTTGATTAAGGAATTAACTTATGTTTTTTAAAAATGTAAGACTAACTTATAAAATCATCAAAAAACACAAGAACTAAATTGTAATTTATTTATTTTAGAATGTATGTAATCAGGTTATATAAGAGTTTACAATTGTAATACGAAATTTATTTTGTAAATGTAGCTTGGTCCTTTTGTTCGGTTTTTTTTGTCAAAGTTAAATTTTTTTTATGTCTAAAATATCCTTCATTTGTAGTCATATTTTCCAATTTTATCTAGTAGAGACAAAATTAAAAGTACAATTAAAAGGAATAATTTAAAAGATTCAGAAGAAAAGTTAACAGTCAACTTTGATCATTAGAATAACTTATAATTGTCAAAACATAGAGAAACTAACTTACAAAATCATCAAAAAAAACACAATGACTAAATCATAATTTACTCATATATATATAAAAGAATTTACAATGGTCATAAGTTTGTTTTGTAAACAAAAGCTCAAAAATAAATACCCTTTCCTTTTCAAAGAGATTGTCTCTTTTTCTATTTACATTTATTCCAAAATGTTTATTTGATAAAAAATTTTAATAATATATTTTCTTAAAATGCTCCTAATTGATAAAAAAAAAAAATCAATTCTTTCTTCTATTTTTATGTTTTTTGTTAGCACCCAAAAATTTCTAGTTTATTTTTCATTATGTTTCAAAACAAAAACAAAAATACAAAATGAGAAAATAATTAGGGGATGCTACAGAAAGAAATTGGAGGAAAAGGATCGAAATACAATAGGTCCACAAGATAAGGGACCAAACTAAACTTTAGCCAAAAGAAAACTCTAAAAACATCAATATAAAAAACCCCACTTTCTCACCCCTCACTAGCCACACTATCTCTAGAAACATTTTGGCCGATTATCTCTCTAGAAAACCCAATTAGCCATGCTCAGCCACTAATGATCGCCTTCCCCTCAATCGACCGTCCATTCCAGCAAGCCATTCGTCGTTGTTCCTCTTTTCAACAACCTTCCTCATCATCTGATCTCCCTTGCAGTCGCCGAACAGACACAACAGCATCATCCAATCCAACTGGATTCGATTAGTTGTAGTCAGCCTCGCACAAGCCACCATTCGACATCTACCAACACAATAGTCATCCGATCCAAGTAGCAGCAGACACCTGGTCTAGCAACAGACATCCGATCCATACAGTAGCAGCAGCAGCATTTATTAAATCTAATAATAACCACCTGATCTAGTAGCAACCCTTCAATCTAGTAGCGTCACCACTATCAACAGCTACAGCTAGTCGTCCAACCTCCAATCAGGCCACTAGCAGTCATTGTTAGCCATTAAGTCATGATTCGTTCACCAACAAGCACCTCGCCTCACATCGGATCCAGATCTGATAATAGGCAGTCGCTCCTCCTTCTCAACTGATTGAATAATCAATCTCTATCAGAGTTAAAAAAGTTAAAAATGCCCCAATTTTGATTGTCAAAAATTCTTTCGAACTTCTTACATTTTTTTCTCATCAAGTAATTTATCCTTAATCCTTAAATTAAATTTATATTTATATGAAAGTAAATTAATTAAATTGATTTTATGGTTGTGTGATTGGTTGATTGAAGTGTTTAAAATACACCGTACTGTATTGAGCCTGCAAAAAGGTCGAAGACCCCTGGTAACATTGAGGTTACATAAAGAGATTGAGTATTCTGTAATTATTTTTGTTGCATGTTTGCCATTAGATTGAGCATGCATGATGAAATTGTTATTTATGTTGTTAACCCAAGATTTGTTTGTCGTTTAATAATTATTAACCAGATGTGCCAATTGCCTGATTGTTTTATATATATATATATATATATATATATATATATAAAGGTTGTGGTATTTATAATCACATTGGTCCAAACCTTGTTTTTGAACCATTTTTGCCAATGCTAATATTAAATCGATTCGATGTAAATTTGCATAAAAAATGTGATGCTTGAGTTATGTTAGTTTGAATCTCGTTTTTTGACCATTGTTATCAATTGTGATGATTAATTTGATATTGTCGCCAATTTGCCTAAAAATGTAATTTTTGAGTTGCATCGATCGAATATCGTTTCTAGACCATTTTTGTTAATTATGGTTACTAATTGATACTATCACAAATTTACCTAAAAATATGACATTTGAGATGTGTTAGTCCGAATCTCTATTTGGAACATTTTTCCTAAAACGTTTTCTTGAAAAATCATGACTTTAAAGTCATGTCGATCTATACCTTGGTTCGGACCGTTCATGCTAACATTACCTAACATGTCGATTTCACTTCCCAAATTTATTTTTCATACGTTAGAAAATCACGATATTTGAAATCGTATACATTTGAATCTGCTTTTTAGATCGTTTTTTTCAATTTTGATAATTTTACTCGATTTGCCTAAAAATTTGAAATTTGAAGTCACGTTAGTCCGAATCCTATTTTCAAACTATCTTTGCCATTTCTTTTGTTATATACTTTTGCCATGTCTACCATGTGAGTTTTAATGTAATTATTATAGATTTAGATTTATTATATCGTAGAGTGAGGATAAGACCTTTGACCATTCAAGTCTCAAATCACTCGTCTAACAAGCAAAACATTAGGAATAGGCACGGGTTTTCATTGTTAAAAAAATAAAAAATCAAGTCGGATTTGCAATGCGGTGTGTCTTAGGCAAGTTAGGGTAAGGTGATTTTTAATCTTCTCCACACATAACAAACTCTTTACTTAGAACTTTGGACGAGACTTTATTATTTTTTCCCATTTCCTATTTTTCAAAGTCATCACCTCGGATTACCATCGTCCTGCGATAGAATGGAGACTCCATTGGAGAGACATAATTAGGGTGGGCTTTGCACAAATTTTGAGTTTGATTTCGATATGTGATGAATTTTTATGTCTATATACCGATTGACATAATTCACCTTTTAAAAGAAAAATTCATGCCTTTTGCTTGCCTTTATTTGCTTGTCTATTTTTGTTTTGGTTTTTTTATTATTATTTCTTATCCGAGTTTATATTTTTATTTATGTTTTTGAGACTCGAATATGGAATAATGCTTATGTATACACTATACCCGCCGTTACTTTTTATGCATATCATACACTTGCCTCCAAACTTTGAGAGATTGCGGTGGTGCTCCGATGGGTTTCATTCTAGGTAAACACTTACGAAATCTCAACTTTTCTTACTAGTTGCTAATACGTGATGGATAATTGATGATTTTTCACGCTTATCCCTCATTGCTTTTGGTGGCCCCAATAATTCGATTTTGATTTGTTGAAGTTGAAAGAGACCCTATTTGAGACTTAGATAGATCATATCTATTCATGTAATGACTTATAACTAAACCTTAGGATCATCATTCCTAAGTAAATTCATTAGACAAGTCAAATGAATTGAAACCTTGATCAAGCAAT